TGGACTGCTGTGCCTCATTAATCTCATTTTGTTTTATGGGGCTGTCCAATCTCCTGCTGAACAATGAACCTCGAAAGTTCACCACTGAGCTAAATAAGTTATACAAAATTTTGTAATTAAATGAAATCCATGGATTTATTCTGTAACAGTGTGTGCTTACATTGACCTGTATATATTATATACAGCTGTCTGCAAGTTTATACAAATTGATGGTTTACATTCAAACTTTTAACTATTTTAAATATGTATTTAATGGTAACATTGTATTACATAGAAACTCATAAAGTGGTTGTGGTTTAACCATTTTTGTGATTTAGTTAATGTAAATTTTATGTAAATGACATGATATTGTTAATAATAGGAACTTTAAAAAATTTTAATTTAGGGGATATCAAACAAGAGCCAGGAATGTATCGGGAAGGACCCACATACCAGCGACGGGGATCCCTTCAGCTCTGGCAGTTTTTGGTAGCTCTTCTGGATGACCCTTCAAATTCCCACTTCATTGCCTGGACTGGTCGAGGCATGGAATTTAAACTGATTGAGCCTGAAGAGGTTAGTTTAATAAATTTTAATTAGAAAAATGAGATACGTTACAAAATAAAGATGTATTTCATTAATATTGCAAAAATGTAATTTTTTAAATAAACTTTAGGGGAACTTGTTGAATTAAATAAAATAAAATTAGAAAAAAAAAAAACCCTCAAACATATCCACATTTAAAATCACAAATGATTAAGCGTTGTGTGCTTGCTCCAGATGAAGTCTCTCCCTACAAAACTGATGTGTAAAAAAATCAACCAGGACATCATTAGCATAAACTTTTATTCAGGAATGTAGGGCTTCTCTTGAGAAGACGCCAATGGAGCATCTAAGCTGGGGAAGGAGGGTTGAGTGCTTTATGGGGCTTGGGCAATGGGGGAAAAGTCGGCTGAAGTTCAACTAATTTTGGGAATGGAGAAATTGTTCTTGTGAATTAGCAACCATTGTTTTGACAATCTGGATTTTATCAAGGGGTTTGGAGAGGAACATTTAGGAACCAAAGTCATGTGCAAGACGAGATGGGAGAGGAATAGCTGTGGATAACAATGACATGCAAGAACTGCAGTAGAAAATTCTCAGTCCTTAAGTGTCTCTTACAGGACACAAGACCGGTAGAAATATTGTTTCCCTTTGATAGTGAAATCTGTTTCAAGTCAGCTGGGCTGAGTACACTCTACTGGGAGGTAGGTATGACATTTGCAGTGTTGCCATAGTGCATAAGTCAATATCTAAATGAGAAGACTCCTGATAAATAGACATAATATGGACAAATGGAACATACACACAAATGGAGTAGTTATATGAAGAATTTCTAATTTCAATTACTCTTCCCCAGACTAGCTTTAGGCTTAAGGCTACTATTGTTACAGTAGAATAAACCAGAAATAGTGTTTTGGATTTCCATAGAAAGTGATAGTCATATATAACCTTTGTGTCTTATTAAAGATACTTTCTATGCTATTATTAAAAATTGACTTCACTATATATTAGCCTAGAAAGCAATGGAAGATATTTATCTAACATGCTTATGATTAACTGTAGGATCTAAACACCTCAGTAAGGTAAAAAAAAAAAAACTTCAGCAAGCCCTCAAGCTATTTTTGAACCCAGAGAGATTTGTCAAATATAGACTGGACATCCATGGTCTAGAATTTGAAAGGATCCGTTACTTAGTGTGGGCTAAATATTTGGGTGTTTAAATTTTGCAGTGTGCCTAAAGCTTAATTTGGCTGTCAAAGGAAATTTAGCTTTGATGTGGATACACTTAAATGATGTAAGTGAAAGAACTGCAAAAATGTGAAGCGTTAACAGATGAGACTAGAAACACTTAACATAAAAGTAATTTGAAAGTCTTTTAATGTGATGGGAGTGTGCGCTCTTTACCTCATGAAAGATGTTAATAATCACTGCAAGAACTGGTTCATGCTAGAACTGAGTACATCCAACAGGAATTTCTCTCTGTAAATAAGTTATTTTTCTCCAACTGTAATGAAAATAAACTGAGCAGAAACAGATTTAAAGAATTGCCATATATTTGTTCAGATAGAGGAATTAACAAATTACGTCAATAATTCTTGATCTACTCAGACAGCCAAAATTCTTCTGCAAGTGATTAAGTTACTTATAGTTCCTTATATAGCAACTGTTCACTTGTATGATGATCAAGTTTGAATAAGTAGAATAAGAGACTTGACCAGATAACTATTAAGTCTCTTCCAGTTCTGAATTTCTGTGATTTATAAACGCAGGTAGAAAATACAACGACATCTGTTCCATACAACAAACTGGCATTTAGACAACTTTTCTATAACAGACTCATAAAGTAAAACAGAGCTGGGTAATTCACAGTCAGTAGACCATTTCCAAATAGCAACTAACTCAATGGGAATGATGCAGTAAGCACTAAATGCATCCTCAGGCCCTGTTCAAACTGAAACATTCCATTTCTGATTCCTGCATTGCTCACTGTTGCAGTTGGTTCCATCAGGCAATGACTGTGCTATTTTGTTTAAATTTCTTTCTTGGAAAGGTTTAATGAAATTTCTTTAGCCTGTATGGCCCACAGTCTCTCTCTTTGCTCTATCATAGAACAGCTCTCTAGGTGTTCTTTGTCAGCACAATTCATGAAAGATGCTTCTGAAGCCATTCTGTTGGAATTACTCGGCGGTTCCCTTTCTTTGATACACATCTTGGAGTTTAGAATGAGACTCCAGTCCTGCTCGGATTATGTACTCTATGTGTTTGGATAACTCTAGCAAACACATAATCTTTCATCTTTCTCTCTCTCGCTTTTTTTGGGGGGGTGAAGGGGGTTAGGACATTTGAGTTAAAAAGACATTATTTTGGAATGAATCATAGATACTAGGGAATTGTTCCAGGGAAGAGTTATCAACATAATAATGCTTCTATAGGAGTCCTTGTAAAAGTCTTTTCATGATATTCAAGCTTGTTGAACTGGAAGAGTTTCCAAGAAGTCTTAAATGGTAGTTTCAGGGTTCACAGTTGCATGTTCAATAGTAATGTTTAAAAATAAGTTGAACGATCCTTGACTTATTACATGTTTCTATTAATTTGCTAATAGAGATGAATGACATAGTGCCATTAGCTTTCAATCTTCTCTCTAATAGCCTGTTTTCATTTAAAAGAGTATTATTAGGAAGTCACTGGAAATGTTACCATCTTTCCCACTCCATGTTGAGAATTGTGACATGCTTTTAGTATTGCTGGATATAGTGGTGATTGGCAGGTCACATGTGAGGGCTGAATCGACTTTCTTAGTTGACTGGTGCCTAGCCTGGGAATTACTGATCTTACTTGCTAGTTTTAAGGTTCACTCTTGTCTGCATCTCATAGAGGTATTAGATCCCGTTTTCCCTGACTTTATGAAATTCACTGAAACAATTCTAAGGATAATTTTTATTGATTTAAAACGACTACTAATATCCACAGTGCCAAGAATTAATAGGCATCACAAGAGTCAAACTCGGTGTTTATGGTATTAATAAAAAGATCTTTTTTCCCTCCCCAGAGACTTCCATAATGTTGCCTTAAAGTTTCTTGCAAGTATTATATTTTCTAGATGCATCCTGGTGAGCTTCTAGAAAAGAAGCATTTAGAAATGAATATGTATTCAGAAATTGTTGTTTAATTTAAGGAGATCTTAATAATTCATTTTCACATCCCCTCCAGGTTCGCATGTTGCTCAGCTACCATGTCTATTAAAGATTCACTGGTGTCCATTGTTAGATTTTTTTAAAGACATTTTACTTAAAAAAGTATTGCTTTCATTTCTTATTGTCACCTTCCTGTTTCACTATTGCTCAGAACATTTACATTAAAATGTGGTTTATCTTTTGAAAATTAGGATATACCTGCCACGTTTGCTTAGATTGGTGCTTGTTCCTGTTACATACCATCTCGCTACTCTTAGAAAAATACACTGATGCATAACACTAATTTACATTGTATCTTCGTTCAGGGAATACAGATTAGTGATAGAGAAAATAGCAAGGGGGCAGTATTTTAAGAAATAAAAAAAAAAACCTTGGAGACTGATTATCGCTAATAAGTTGAGGAGAGAGGATGATCTCTTCTGAACAGCATTCTATTTTTGTGTTTGTGACAAAACAACTTGGAATTTCATGGAAATGAATGAACACACTAACCTATTAGATAATGCTCTCATGGGGTTGCTTAGGTTTGCATGGCAGCTGCAGTTTCTGCTCTGCCTAATAAAAAGTGAAAATTCATGAGAACGTGACTTTAGCTGGGTAGCAAAGGCAGGTTAGACTATTCCGTATAATGCTTTAGCTAGGTGATGGTGATGGTGAGGTGGAGATACACACTGAGGCATTTTTATTATATATTTTAGGAATACATGTCTGAACTCAGGAAGGATTTCTTAAAGCTCTGTTAATGAACTGTTTTCCAGATAAGTTGCTGCTCCAAAGCCACATAATAAAAGTTCTGAGACTTTTCACTAAACAACAAAGCGGACGTTCTGCTTTAGAGATTTTTGTTTGTAGACTTGTATGCATGGTGACTTTTTTCACTTCCTTCTTATTTTTAGCATCCAGTTACCGTTCTCTAAATGAATGCCTAATTCCCCAGTTTAGTATTAGCTACATTTTCATTCTGATGCTGCTTCAGGCAATAAAAATTATTTGCAGTTCAGTTTATTAAATGTATACTATTTCCCCACTACACACAGTGTGCCACTTGTTCACTCTTCTATACAGTGTTGAAAAAGATGTTTTTCTCTTTGATTTATCATAACCTCAATAAAATGTCTTTACAAACAGAATCACTAAGCTGCGCTTGATCTATAGTTTTCATATGAAAAACTAGGAAGGGAAAAACAGACATTGTATCTCAATCAGAATGGAAAATTGGCCTCATTCTGGTGAATCGCAGACTGTTCATTCCTGTTGTAAACACATTCCCTTATTTCCATTTAATTTTGGGTCCAAAACAATAGTGACAAAGAATTCTATTGTGATATTTCGGAGTGATCACTGCTTGCCTGGTTTAAAAGACAAGCCAGGGCTCAGGAAATTCAGATCATGAAAGCTTTTGCTTCTTTATTTGTTTCTTTAATTTTGATATGTTTTGGGCCATTTGGAAGTAATTAATTAATTTTATGAAATATGTTGATAAGCTAACACCTAACATTGCAATTCAATTGTTTTGTTGGCAGGTGGCCCGGCGTTGGGGCATTCAGAAAAATAGGCCAGCTATGAACTATGATAAACTTAGCCGTTCGCTCCGCTATTATTATGAGAAGGGAATCATGCAAAAGGTGAGCAGCTAATACAGCATTAAAATCCATTGAAATGTTGTACATTAACTTGCACATCATACTTTGAAAGTCACATATCATTGCATTGTTGAAGCAAAGTTTTCATTCATTTTAGCAAATGCTTATCTCTTGGTTTTGGTATTACAAGCCTTTCTATTTATAAATGCGTGGACATGGTAGACAAATGTGTAACAATATTATATACAAAATAGTAGGCTTCTAAAGTTTCTACTTTGCTGCTATGGTGAAAAGCTTGTTTCAGTACTCAAATTGCATCTATGTATCTCCAGAAGAGGTTGTAATTCTGTTACATTCTCCATAATTCTATAGTTTCAAAACACTTTTGTTTATAGATTCCAGTGAAAACAAATAATCTTCTTTACTAACTAAATTTTTTTTTTCTTTTCTGATTCTTAAAAAATTTTATATATATGTTATTACGTCTTTTAGCCTTTCGTGTGTATTCAAATCTAATTTCCTTGAGTGGGAACCAAGTTTATGATTTATCAGTTGTGAAAATTATAATTTTATTATGCATCCTTTGTTGGTTTTGGTGGATATGGATATCATTATATACTAGTGTAGCATTTTTTTTTTTTTTATGTTACCATAGTTATGCCACCAGAAACTAGACCAGTTGCTACATGAAGCATAATAGAACAGAGGGGGACAGCACCCTTGAGTTTCCTAGACCTTACATAGGATGTCAGTGCTTTGGAATTTGCCAGCTTGGAAGTTAAAACTTTCAAGGTTCTTAAAGATAAGAATGGTTTGATTCTCAATTGCTTCCTCTTTCCCTGAATCTCACCTTCAAAATATTTAACCATCTGCTACCTGCTCCTCCTATCTTCTTTATCTCAACCCTGAGGTCATTTTTGATTCCTCTCTTTCTGTCATCCCACCACACCCATTTGTAGCCACATCCTTTCAAATACATCCTATTCCTTTCATTTTCACCAGCATCTCGAGAATTAGTATCACCTGGGCTTTCATAGTAGGTATTCAATGATTTTCTTGGCCAATGTTGCACATTAATAAAAGATAACGTCATCTTGATTTAGGCTTGAACGCTAGCTTCTCAGTTGACTAACCTTCTAAACATATTCTTCTCCTACTAAATGGTGATATTTCTTACCTCATAAAGTTGCTGTGACTATTAAATGAAATAATGTGCTTGGGACGCTTTGCTTTGTACTTGGCACAATAAAACTCTTGAATAAATAGTAGCTCTTAATTCCTCTCATACACGAATGCTAGAGTAAGCCAAGGCACATTTGGCTTGTGTGTCTTGATCATTTAAGTCCTTATTAAAAAGTCCTGTAATTTCCCCTGCTTATTACCTAGAGAATGAAATTAAAACTCCATGCAAGTTTCTGCTTTCATACATAATGTATTTTCAAAACGTGTATGAAAGTAGAAAGTGTGAAGTTTGAATAGTAGAGGTGCTGGTTAAAGTTCCATTCACTGAGAGATAAGAATTATTATAAGATCTCTAATTACACCTCAGCTTTTAGACATGGTATTTGACAGGGTATACCCAAGATATAGAGCCCTGCTGTCCCAGTGGTTAAAGGGATCAACTGCTAACTAAAAGGTTGACGGTTCGAAACCACCAGCAGCTCCACGGGAGAAAGGTATAGCAATCTGCTTCTATAGAGATTTACAGCCTTGGAAACCCTATGAGTCAGAATCAACGCTATGCAGTGGGTTTGGGTTTTGACCCAGTTTATAGAGCCCTCGTGGCTCAGTGGTTAAAATCTCAGCTGGAATCGACTCAATGGCAACGGGTTTGGTTTTTCATCCAAGTTATCGTGCTCAGTTTTAAAAGTGTTCAAATGTACTCAAGCTTCTGCTTCTTATTACCGGTATCACCACTAGTACTAACTCTTCCATGTTGCCATGTTTCTCCTTTTAATACATTAATAAGACAAAATGCTATGAAATAATCATATAATGGCAAGGATGCTGAAATACAGATAAAAATGTTGCTGCTCAAATTTTTCCCTGTTAAATTGTAACTGCCAATAGGAACTATTTGTAACTATTTATCAGTTAATATAAAGCAAAATCAAACCCACTGCTGCCAAGTTGATTCCAACTCATAGCAACACTACAGCAGAGTAGAACTGCCCCAGACGGTTTCCAAAGCTGTAATCTTGATGGAAGCAAATTGCCACATCTTTCTCCCCCAGATCTGTGGTGAGTTTGAACCCCGCAACCTTCTCTTTAGCAGTACTTTAACCACTGAAACACCAGGGCTCCCTCTCAGCTAATACAGAAAGTAAAAAACTGTATGATAGTCCTTTTGGGCTGTGTAATGAAAGGAAGAGCAGATTATCTGAGGGTTAAATATGCAAAAATTGAAGACTAGCTGTAAGTAGGACAACAGTGCAGGCCCTTTATACTTTTCACAGCCACATTTACTCCTCTTCTCACTTGTGTCGACCAGTCTGTTTGCTGTTCCTTGATATACCTGGGTCCAAAACAATAGTGACAAAGAATTCTGCGACTCTCAGTGCCTCACTCACACTGTTTCCGCTTTCTATTAAAATGTGCACTTTTCTAATGATCAAGTAAATTCTACTACAGTTATTTAGAAGAAAACTATGCAGTCCTTTAAAAATAAACAAACAAAAAAGCTATATGATATGAAATTATATATTTCAACCTGAGGGGGAAATATATATATATGACCACATTTGTGCATTAATTTAAAGCTATATGTGTGTGTGTATGTGGTGTTCATAAAAGAAAATTAAAAGAATAGAACAGAAAAATAAACCCACTGGGTCCAAACATGTAAAAAAAATAAATAAATAAAAACTGGTAATTAATTTCAGTAGTTATAAGAGAAATAAGCTGTGGATTAATGCTTGTTATACCTCGTAGAGTATATGTGTGTGTAACTCTATTTCAAAATTTTAAGATGCCTAAAAATATATATACCAATATTTTACTAGTGGTTGTTTCTGTATGATATGATTATAGATCATTATTTCTTACTGCTTCATCCATAATTTCTAATTTTCCCCCAGTATCACTGTATTACTTCTGGAAGTTTTTAAAAGTTAAAAAAAATAATAATTTAAATATCCAGGCTTCTAAGCTGCAACTCAAAAGCCATCTCCTTGTTTAATTCTGATTTACCTCTGCTACAAAATTCCTGATTTTTTAATCTCAGCCTTGCGATTTGAGTATACTTAATGTACGGCATTACAATGGTCAAGTTCTATGGCTGTTAACTAAAAGGTTAGCAGTTCGAATGCACCAGCCACTCCTTGGAAACCCTGTGGGGCAGTTCTACTCTGTACTACAGGGTCGTTATGAGTCAGAATCAACTCTACAGCAAGTGGTTAATTGTATGAATAATGAAATGCAGACGTCATTTCCTTTGCTTGGTTAGCAATCCTTGTTCTAATGCCAGCAGCATTTAACATAGTCCTATAAGCATAGTAGTAGCCCTACAATTGCTTATTCAAAAGAAAAACAGAAGGAAGCAGTACGTAAAGGCAGAGTCCTTAGATTTTATAATCTTCATTGCATGTTACACATTTTACATCCCCAGGGTGAAAAGTTGTTCATTGATCGCAGCATTTCTAATTATAGCCAATAGGTGCAGGCCAGACAAAAACGTTCCGTAGCCTAAAGCAAATGCTTTTTCTCTGCAGCTCCAAACAAAACAAAGCAGACTGTAAAACGCTCAGAGATATGAGGGCCATTTATTTTATTTTATTTTTTCTCAAAATACTTTCAACAAAGGAGAAAAAAGCAAAACTGGAATTTATTATCTCAGCTTTGTTTCCGATATTGCCTAATTTTACTTTTATGGTCATTTCACCTTTGAGAACTTAATTTCCTTTGTAGAAAGGACTAAATAAACTTATGTCAGGCGCCTCTGTAAGCTGTGCAGTGTGCGAGAAACTTCCCTCTAAATCTCCCAACAGTCTTTCCAAATTACGAAGAAAGGAACTGAGAGGCGGTTTAAGAAACATGTTCAAGTTCATGAAAACTAAGCGTTAGTGGTTTTCAAACCTAGGAATATTTAGATTGTTTGGTTTCTTTAAAATGGTTCCTCTTAATTAAATCCGGGGCAAAAAATCTTGTAAATCTGAGTCCAGAGCGGCAGTGTTCTTTGATCGCCGTTCCTTTTTTCACACGTAAACGGATAGTTTATAAACCACGAATGTGGTTTGCCCCCAAATCACAGATCAACGACAGTGCCTGTTTGAAACACAGAGGTGCTGAGTAGTTTTCGCTGTTCTACATTACTGAACTGTAGACACAGAAAAGTTTCTGCCGAACTTAATACAAAGAACTGTATATGTCCACCCATCCCCCGGGGTGTTTGAGAACCTCGACATTGTCTATTAACAGGCTTGTTTGTCTCACTCTTTGTTTAAATTTTCTTAGCGAATCATTACTCTTCAAAATTTCAGTTTGGGTTATGTCATTCCCTACAAATTATGCTGTTTCTCCTTTACTTCAGGCAGTTGTCACATTTCTTTTTCTCATTTCCTCCCTATGCATTGTCTATTGTAAATTTCTTTCACTTTTTTACACCTCTTACTTCAATTTGACACTTTACACACATCCTTAACTTCTGTCTAATGCATCTCACCGTCATTTGTAAAAGTGATGCACCCAGGATAATGCTGTCCTCTTGATTCATCTTTCATTTAAATAAGGCTATGTATCTTTTTTTTTTTTTTTTTGACCAGAGTTTACAGAGCAAAACAAAACAAAAACACCCACCAGTTCACCCTGTGACTCACTGGTCTAGTCTTATTAGGAATAAACCACATTTTTCTTTTAGGGTTTGGAAATGTAGTTCTTCCTGTAATTTCAGAATGTAGTATTAAGACAGAGACACTACACCATGAAAAATACACTTTAATTTTTTACCCTGAAGAACAGAGAAAACATTTCAGTGTGAGATGCCTGCATTAAATTATTGATTTTTAAAATAACAATGTATACAGTTTGCCTTTATGTTAAAACCAACTGCTGAGCTTTTTAGCTGTATCTGGAATGAATGTAATTATTTCCCAGGGTCGATATAAAAGAACTTTTGTTTGCACTATTCCTTCTGCATTTTTCTCTGCTGAGCCATAGTTCATTTTACATAATAAGGACTTTTTTTTTTCTTTTTTGCTTTTATATGTATCTGTTAATAATTTATTGCTTTTCTTTTTCCTTATGTTACCCATCCTCTCTGGTGTATTAAACCATGTTTTTGTTTCTTCCTTCTCTATCCTTCATCATCTTGGGATGGTGAGGATGGATTTTTCTCTTCCATATTATCATCAGGTTGCTGGAGAGAGATATGTCTACAAATTTGTGTGTGATCCAGAAGCCCTTTTCTCCATGGCCTTTCCAGATAATCAGCGCCCTCTGCTGAAGACGGACATGGAACGTCACATCAACGAAGAGGACACGGTGCCTCTGTCCCACTTTGATGAGAGCATGGCCTACATGCCCGAAGGTGGCTGCTGCAATCCCCACCCCTACAATGAAGGCTACGTGTACTAACACAAGTGACAGTCAAGCAAGGCTTCTCCTCTTTGCAAGATGCGGAGAATCGCTGAATTCTCTTCAATCTTTGTTTTATTTTTTTGTTGTTTGTATTTTATTTTTAAATAATAATACAACAAAGGGGCTTTTCCTGTTGCATTATTCTATGGTCTGCCATGGACTGCGCACTTTATTTGAGGGTGGGTGGGAGTAATCTAAACATTTATTCTGTGTAACAGGAAGATAAGGGGTTAATGGGTTGGGGGTTTGGGGATTACTTTTTACTTAGGCTTGGGATGGGGTCATACAGGTTTTAAGTATAAAGCTATATCATGTCTGTTTGATTTCATAACAACATAAGATAATGTTCATTTTCTCCGGGTATCTATGGTACAGTTAATTCACATTGTGTAAATATCCACTTGGAGACTATTTACCGAGTGATATGCCTTGGGCATCCCCCCTCCTGTTATTTCTGGGTCTCTACAGGTGTACAAAAGAAACATTTACTGTAAATGGCAGTTCAATTGTTCAAAATGACTGTTTTTGCACCTCTTGTAAAAAGGTATTTAGAGATTGCATTTGCCGTTTTTTGTTTTGCTTTATATATGACACACAGAGGAAAACCATAAAATGGGTAATTCTCTCTGAAGTTTGATAATCACCATGACTGCAAATGAGGGGCACAATTTCGGACTCTGGCTCCAAACTGAGTCGCAGGCCAGTAGCGTTACACGTATCTGGTGCCACCTTGCCGTTTAGATACAAATCATACTGTCTTTTAAATATTTTGAAGCCCATTTCAGTTAAATAATGACATGTCATGGTCCTTTGGGATCTCATTTAAATGTTAAATCTGGAATTACAATGAAGCAAAAAATATCTGTCTCCTTTCACTTCCTTCAGTACATAAATACATTATTTAATCAGTAAGAATTAACTGTACTAAGTCACATATTATGCTGTTCTAGATACAGCAGGCACTCCTTAAGAAAAATATCCAATACACTAAATAGTACTATAGTAATTTTTAGACATGGTACCAATTGATATGCATTTAGACCTTTTACTGCTGTGTTATGTTGATAACATATATAAATATTAGATAATGCTAATGCTTCTGCTGCTGTCTTTTCTGTAATATTCTCTTTCATGCTGAATTGACTATGACCATTTATAAGCAATGCAGTTAACTACCGATAGCATTTCAGGACAAAATAGATGACTCGAACCATTTATTGCTTAAAAAATAGCTTACGCCATGCTATGCTATAAGCAGCTTTTATGCACATTGACAAATGAAGAGTAAGCTTCAGCTTGCTAAGGGAAACTGTGGAAACTTTTGTAACTTTTGGTGAAATGGAAAATTATTTACAAAACTGTTGAAGAATATGATGAAGTTGCTGTATGACATAGTGCTGGCACTGATATTACCCATCATCTTGTTTTAGACACTCATGTAAATGTGATTGGATTGTTTGAAAGAAGATTTAAAGATTTAAAGTTTCAAAGCTTTTTGTTTTTGTTTTGCTTTTGGAGAAAATATTGAAAGCAGGGTATGTGGTTCCAATGACTTTGAAAAAACATTAAGATTCAAGGGAGAAACATGAATTTTGTTCAATCCATGGATATCTCAGAGGAATAACTTTTTTTTTCAGATTCTATAACAAAATGTTAAAAAAAAATCTTAACCACGAAACCAAAATAAATCTATAAGAGCATTTCAAGAAAAGCATAGCAAAGATGTTAAAGATGACCCCTACCGGTTTTCCAACACCACATCTTAATTCTCTAATTAGAACAGTTACTGGGAACTCCTCATACCAAAATCTATTCTATTCACATTTAATCCTCTTAAAAACATATTATGATTTCAACATATGTATTTAACATATGTGATTTCAGTGATTGTTCTACATATATATCATATGTCATCGGGCTCATTATGGGTTAAATAATTATGCCTTAAAAACCAGAACTTTTTTTTCCTTTTTCACTATGCTCATGTGGCCATTACAGCACTTAAAACAGGTTTTAAAATATTCAGCTAGTATTTTATTAGAACGAGAATTGAGATACTTGGATAAGTTGAAGGAGCAAAATTTAAGTGGGTCTTTAAAATAAGGTCTAAATGAAAATTATATTGAGGATCTTTTTCTTTTGTTTTCCATTTTTTATGTTTTAATTCGAGCCTGCCAGTGCGAAGCAATTGGGCCATGTGTTACGTTAAGGCATCAAAGGCAGAACCGGTATTAATAATACAATATTTAAAAACAAATTATATATTTTGATGCTTAATGTAGTGACTCACTGAACTAAGTAGTAATTGGCCAATATTAAGTATTTTTCCAATACATTATAAACTCCTGGACACTCTTGGAAAATGTTTCTAAAGTTCTTTTTTTTGTTTTGTTTTGTTTTTTCAGATTCTGTTTTTATTCTACTTTTTCTTTGGTTGTGCTTTTATTTTCAGGTAGATTAATAAATCTGGCAGCTGATTTCTGCAAAATCCTTGTGTTTTGAATTTCTAATTGAATCGGCTAATCAAACATAGAAATCAATTAATGATATGTCTTCCTTCAAGGTGATAATGTGCTAATACCCAACAAACTTACTCCAACAAACAATGTTGTATCCCAAATAGCCAATGGAAATGATTCTAAGTTATACCTATTAAAAAAAGATAAAAATCCACAAAGCTGACAGTCAGTGCAGAGTAGTTTTCTCAAACAATATAAATATCTTAGAAACAATTTAATTAAACCTTCTTTTTACAGATTTTATTAGTTTCCTGTGCTGCTGTAACAAATTACCACTAATTTAGTGGCTTAAAACAGCATAAATATACCCTCATATAGTTTTGGAGGTCAGAAGCCCACAAAAGGTTTAAGAATCTTAAGAGGCTAAAATCAATGTGTCAGCAGGTTTGGTTCCTTCTGGAGACTCCAGGGGAGAATTCAGTTCTTACCTCTCTTTCCACTTTTAGAGGTTGCCAGCATTGCTTGGCTTCTGGCTGCATCCCTCCAATCTATGCTGTGGTGGTCACATCCTCTTCCCTTCTGTAGTCATTATCTCCTTCTGCCGTTTTCTTATACAGACACATACATGTGATTACATTTAGGGTCCACCTGAACAATCCAGGATAATCTCCTCACCTCAAGATCCTTAACACATCTGCAAATTCCCTTTTGATAAATTTTGAATGATAAAACTATCAATCATAGTTTCTGGGAATTAGGACCCGGGTATCTTGGTGTGTGCGTGTGTGTGGGTGCGCGCGCGCGTGTGTGTGTGAAGACATTGTGTACCATGGTGCACCAAAAATATTAAGTGACTTACCTATGGACAAAAAAGATTTATTGATGAACCTGGGATTAGAAAGCACTGAAGGATTTTTTCATTTATTTACCATCGAGGTATTCTTTCTCATCTTTCTCCATATAGATGGTACTGAAAGCATGCTGTATTAAAATTTGTCCATTCACCCCAGGCAAACACTACGTAATGATAGAATAAATAAATAAGAGTAATGGCACAACTAATTCTGTTGTTTGAGACAGGTTATAATATTTTAGTAAATTTCTTTTGGTGCTAGTATGTTTTGTTACTATGTAATCTTAACCTTTGTAAGTGAGTACCAAATTTTTATGCAAATAACATGTGCCTTCTACATTTTTTGCAACAGGTAAAAAAATTGGTAGAGTGGCACTTTAGAAGGCACACGTTAGTTGCATAAAAACACCGTACTATTTATTACATAAGAACAATAGGTAGAATACATATCTGTTACTCAAAACGAAAATTCTAAAATATGAGTCGATTTATTTTATTATGATGACAAGGAAAAAGATATATTGCACAGTGGTTAAGAGCTACAGCTGCAAACCAAAAGGTTGGCAGTTAGAATCCACCAGCCTCTCCTTGGAAACCCTATGGAGCAGTTCTACTCTGTCCTATAGGGTCGCAGTGAGTTGGAATTGACTGGACGGCAACGGGTTTTGGAAACCCTGACAGCATAGTGGTTAAGTGCTATAGCTGCTAAGCCAAAGGTTGGCAGTTCCAATTCACCAGGTGCTCCTTGGGAACTCTATGGGGGCAGTTCTACTTTGTCCTATAGCATTGCTATGAGTTGGAGTCAACTCGATGGCAATGGGTTTTTTTAATAGGTATTATAGAATTTGGCTGGATCATAGAAGTTTTTTAATATCAGCTGCTTTGTATATCATGAAACATTTCAAGAACTTAGAAGATGTCACAGAGGAGTAGGCCATTTGAATGTTTATTACTTGGAATATTAAAAGAGAAAAATGAAAATTAAGAATAAGAAATGAGTGAGCTATTTCCCAGTTGTATTTTGATGTGAAGAAGGGAGAAAATAGGCTTGTAAAAAGACATAGAAATTGGGTAAAAATAATGACAGGAGGAAGCTAAAGACAAATGTAAATATTGAGCAGTTGTGGTAAGAATTGCATAAAGGCGAAGTTTCAATTAGGTATTAGTTTTGGGCATAATACTTCAGAATGTGGCCCAGTTTACCCAGTATTGAACTTTTAGAGCTTGGTGTGTTTTTTTTTTAACATGAGATGATGTAGAAAGTCTTACTAAAAAAAAAAAAAAGTTTATGGAAACATATAGTTTAAGAAGAGGTTGTGATTAGAACAGTGGCTGCCTTTATAGAAATCAGATGACTTTATTCAATTAAAAATTTATATAGAATAATTATGGTTTATAATTTCATACGTAAGGTAGTTTTGTTTTTTTTTTTGTTTGCCTATAGAATCCAGTATTCTTATTTTCTTCCATTCTAAAATTATACTTATGTTGCTATGAGAAAGAAATTTTTAATTCACTTTGTTGTATTAAAAATATACTTAAAGTTTGAGAAAACAGGATTTGAAATTCATGTGATTATAGCATATTAAATATGCTCAAAATTCAAATCTAAAATAAAAGCCCAGAAACTGAAAACATTGAACTGTCCTGATCACTCTGAAAAGGAGGCACATCCAAAACTGAACAATGTCACCTAAATTTTTGAGTGGCTTTAATTGTCTTACTCATTTTAATCATTTAATTTATGACCAAGACAATCGAGTAATGTCTACATTGCCTTTGTCACTTCCACTTACTATTGTTTTACTGGCTAACGTTG